CCAAGAGTGTTTGTCATTTTTGATTCAGGAGGTGGTGCTGGTTTTGTTTTCCTTGGGTCTGTTCGGATAAGGTCTGACCGTGCTCGGGTCCACTTCAAAACAGGTCTCTGTTAATGTGAAAGCTCCAACATTTTGGGCCCATTCCGAAAACCTCCACTCTACTACACACTATCCAAATAATTGAAATTTCAGGAAGGCAACAACATTTGGGCAAAAAATTAAAATAAATTGTTTTTGACCCCCGTGTGCGTGTGGATTTAGACAGGCAAACACATTTTGCAAACATTCATCATGCTTTCTTTAGTTCACTTCTAGTTCTAGTATGCCAACATTTTTTTTTATCCCATTTTGTAAAGAACTTTGGGCTGCATCTGTCCATAAAGGTGCAATACAAACACCATCCTTTGTTCAATAAAAACAACAATGATTACATGATAAGTCAAAAGGAGCTGTTGTCAACTGTGACTGTAAAGTGTGACATATATGTGAACCAGACCAGATCTTTTATTTATTTTTTTGTCCTCTGTGCCTAATTAAAGACTAAAATTAAGGGAAAACACTAAAGTTTGAATGAATTTGTGTTTATTCCTCTTGTTTCTTTCAAGCACCTGACTTAATGAAATCCCACAGCTATTAATCTTTTGACATACCTCTGAGCTACTTTGTCACCGAGCTACCGTGAGAGCGCAAACCGAGCCTGACATTTGACTAATTGCAGTCATTTGAGAATGATCACTTCTATAATGTATTGGAAATGCACAGCAGCGTAACACAACATTCAGGCACCCCTCTCGGTCTGCTGACCCACTTTACAGTCAGAACAAGGAGGAAGCTGTTGAACCATAAAAAAAAACCTAATTGGAGAAAAATAAGTACAATAGTAATTGTTGCAATCAGAGCTGATCCAGATTCTTGCCGGGATCACCAAAGACAGGAACCAATCCACGGCACAATCAATCATCCAGGTTTGCAGCATAACCGAACTCCAGCTTATTCCCCTCCCCTCTGTTTCATAGAAAAATGACTCTTACCTGTCCTTGGCACCTTGCGAATTGCTGTGTGTTTGATGAAGACCTCAGTCACAGCCTCCTGGGCTGGAGTGGAGAGCTCATTACAGCCAGAGGAGACAAGTGCATAGGAAAGAGTGAATAGAGGAGAGTGTGTGCATGTGTATGTGTGAGAGAGGGGCATACAGAGGAAGAGAGAGAATAGGGTGTAAACTGTGGAGAAAGTAGTAAATATGAGCAATGGGGAAAGCCCCTTGTAAGGTGAAATAAGGGGCACTTGGGGACTTGCCTTGTACATTGCACCTGTCTTATCATCATTTAACTCTTATTTGTTGGTCTTACTAAACTGTCAGCAATTCCCTGCCTTCTTGGCCTTTACCTGTAAAATGCCATGGAAATGCTGACAGGCTGATAAACCGGAGCTGTCTGGAAAAGACTGCTGCTGGCTTTTCTTTGACTTCTACCATGTATTGTCAGAATTAGATGTACACGCACAGAGATGCACTTATAGCTGCATTTATATTCCACAGTCCACCTTTCAAATCCAAACTCATTTAACAGCCGCTTTCTCCAATTGATTCTTTGCTTTCACAACTAGTAACTTAGTAATACATATTTTCTGATCATGCTGAAACATGCTTCACCCATTCCTGCAGTCTGTGTCAGTGATGTTTCGTGTAATTGTGTATTTTTCTGGACCGATTCAATTGTCTCTTGATGTATTCCTCGCTCAGCTGAGCATGTCATTACACACATCATTTGTGTGCAATTTAATGTGGTATGCAACAAGGTTACATTTCTATGGTGGTTCAATTTGAAGACTCGTAGCATTTCAGCTGCAATCATTTCTTTCTCTGTCTCTCTTTTTCGCTCGCTCTCATAAATTGCTTTGGCGATGATTATGCACTCCTGTGCCTCGCTCGGTCATGCCACATTTTAAGTTCACATTGGGAGATATTCCAATTATCAGTCAGGTAATGTGTTGAAAATGGTAACTCTCTCTCTTTAGCCTGGGTGTGGTGATCATTTTTTTTCCTCTAGTGGACTGCATTGTAAAATGATATCTATCTATTGCTTTGTCATTTATACTGGATGTTGCAGTTGTAGGATTTATATGCTTCTCATTGACTCTTGAATTGTGATTGTATTGAAATGTGTTTTGTGTAAATGCTAGGGACTGCAGTTGCTTCTGGGTCAGTCAGTATTAGCGTCTTCATTTTTACAACTTTCACAGGTGGCAAAAGGACAGTTTGCCACAGTAAAGTCAGTGAAACAAAATTTGGACTGGCAGAGGAATGTTGTGAAATTTCAAGTTTGTGCACTTTTTTAATGTCTTTTATCTGAGCTGTACTAATACAAATTCCCCAAACCAAGGTCCAGTACAAACACTAAAAGTGATTTGGTAGTTTCATTTGATCAAAGCCGTATGGTTGCCTTCTCTTTGACCTATCATAGAATAATTATCGCCTCTTTGTTTTGCTTGACACACTGTTCAATCACAACGCCAGGGTGTATGTGAAAGTGACAGGGTTCTCATTAACTTTAATTACTGTGTGCCAAGTCATCTGAAGGCAAGTGTTTTGTCCCACTAACCGCCCAGCCCCCCACTCGCCGCCACAGGGCCCTGTCCTTCATCACCTGTGAAGGTCTAATCTTATCTGCGGCTGTTGCATGGTTCTTCATTAATCACTCCCCCGGCCCAATCAAATGGTGACTGATGGTTGACGTGGCCTTGTCCGGCCATCCCTCAGGTGCTGGGAGTCGGTCTCGGGTTGGCCGAGGCCACAGAGTGGTATGGATTCCGTGGCCGATTGCGACCGGTGTCTGTGTGTGCATAAACCCAGCACTGTCCTCTACATGGTGTACACGGTGTGCTATGTAACCTTGTGCCAACTGTTCAGTTCAGATGAAGTTCAACACATTGTTCCGCTACTGCTGACCTTCTCTCATCAGCCTGACTTTGATTTGGTAGGATTCAAGCCTTGATCTGGGTACCATTCACTTTTGCTCAATGACACAAAACTTTTTACTTGTTTGACCAAATCCGAGACACTGAATTATTGTCTCATCTCTTGATGAGCTTAGTAGATGCGCAGTGACTGACCAGCAATATCATGAATGGAAAGGGGTGTGTGGTGAGAGGAGGTTGCAAGTACTGTAGGACAAAGCGGAGGGAATAGAAATAGTTTGCTCTAGTAGCGGCAGGATATAAATGGCACAAAGATGAAACAAATCAACCTTAGGTAGCCCCGGCCGTTAGCTAATCCATAGTAATCAGTGAGGCTGCATTGAGCTCTCCGCTTCATGGACCCTTACCAATCAGCAGAGAAAACAGAGATCCGTCATCTGTTTTCCTCTGCTCACTGATGGGGGCAAGGGGCAGTGAGAGTGAAGTGTGGTAATTATATATGAAGGGTGGGTATGGAAGGGGTTGGGGGCGTATGTTTCTGTGTTTTAGTGCCATAATCACCTTTTTAAAGTGTTTTTTTTTCTCTACACAATTTGTCAGTCACTCAGCAGAGAGTGTCCCACACTGGCAGTGATTAGAGGATTGATCAGGGATGTGAACTAATACATGCCCACTGCTGATGTCAAAACACAGATGGCATGACTTACTTCGCCGCCTTCTCAAAGAGATTTTGTTTAATCTTGTCTTATGGACAAGTCTGGCCAAATTACTTCCAGGGGGATGTGCTGCGTCTATTTGTATTGATCTCCGTTAATTAATGTGACAGTGAAATATGAAATTAGACATGAGGCAATATATAATTCAGAAAATATCACTTATCTCCTGACACAGTGTGCAGGCACAAAGGCAGTGAACATACAGACAAGAGACACTCACATATGCACACGTACACAAACACACATCTGTTTTGTATTCAGTGGCATCACAAAATGATCTTCCTGGTAGGCAGATGATTTGGCATCGGTGTGCTCAGGTTTTCATAACCTTTGGATGCCTCCCATCCTTGTCCTACAGAGAACTGAGGACAAAGCTCTGCCCTATTAGAGATGAATAATGAGCCTGTTGGCAAAAGAGACGTTGCTAATGTTTTGTCCAAATATCTCAAATCTGTCCCCAATGATAATGTATTCTGCGCCAGTGCCAAACAGCTCTATATTTGAAGAGGTGATTTCATCGCAGATATGACTTATAAAATCTTTAGACTGGAAACGAGAGGGGGAAAAAAATCCCCCTCACATTATAATGTCTGGCGGGTGTATAGGCATCACAATAAGGGCTTAGTTTGTTTTCCTGTAATTGATGCTTTGCCTGTGTGGCGGCATAGCTTTGTTTGTTTATGCTAATGGCTGTGATGACCTGTTGGTCCCCAATCTAGCAGGGAAATGGCAGCCAGTGCTTTGGGGAGTGAGCCATTGATCTCTTTTCTGTGGCTCTTTCTTCACAGGTACTTGGGATTAACTGAGCCAGAGCAAGACGAAATGAAAACGTTATAAAACCGGAGGAAAAAAAATCACCAAATTACTTCTGGTATATGCATGTATAGCACATCAGCTTCCGGCTAATTGATGCTTGTGCGTCTTCCACCAAGCTGCCTGGTGTAAAAGTGCTCACTCTGCTTCCCTTATATTGGGCTCTTGAGGCTTGATGCTGCCTAAACAGCACAGCTGTAATTCCCTTAAGCAGCGGACTATGCAATAACTGTTATACTTGAACACACAAACAAAAACAAAAGAGGTGGGCTGTTATGGATGTGTTTCTCCAGAGCACCTAATGGTCCTCAGTGTTGCAGTGACCAGTTGTCGAAGACTATATGCATCCCAAGCCATCATCAAAGCAGAAAATCACTACCAGGCTCTGGAAAATGACTTAGGTAATTATCAACAGAATTAGTATGAAATTTGTTGAATAGGGTCCATGGTTATTTTGAGCCACATTTACAATTATTGCTTTTGAGAATTTGCCAAAATTGTAAAATCCTCACTACTATGTGCATCGCAAGGAGATTTATCTGGCTTACAGTAGAATGAGATTTTCATTTTGACTTTATTAGTCTAGTTTGTTTGTTGATTCCAATATATTGCTTTGACCAGTTGTAGATGGAGAACATTCCTGCAGACTAAAACTGTCTAATTTACATGAATTTAGTAAAATATGTTAATGATAAATTGACTTGTTGATTCCACTAAAAGGAAAAACAATCACATAAGAAGTAGTTTCAACAACAAAAAGCCTGTGATTTGGAGGTAAAGACAAGATAGCATGCTCGCATGTACTGTATATATATATATATATATATTTTACATGGAAGCATTGAATATATGAAGTAATGGAGTAAGTAAAGTTTCTTTCTACAGTATGTGAATAAATAAGATTCTATGACCATCTCTGCCTACTGTGGAAGGTAAAGTCCACATTAGGTGATCAGAGGCACAAAGGTTAGCTTCACAGGAGTCAGCAAGGATTTTCCTCTTTAAGACTATGACATTTTACTTTCTTTTTTTTCTCTTTTTTTTTTTTAAACTGGAAAACACAACATTAGGAAAGTACGGGTGAAGGGACCAGGGGAGCAGGCTCACAAAGCCGTTCCCCGGGGTAGATTATTGCTCTGTAAAAAAAAATCTTTGAACATGAACACTCTCTCTTTCCACCACCAGCTCTCACTCCTGGACGCACATCTTTTGAAATGTCAGTTCTTTAGGGCCACAGTTCTAATTTTTGTTCCACTCAGTGTAAGTAAATAGGTCTGACTGTGAGTTTTTGTTCACAGATCCCAGGAGAGTGGCATGCAGGCTCAGCAGAGAGACCTCTCGCTGCAACCTCCCTCTAACATATTGATCAGGAATGGCTATTGGCGTTAGTCCTGTGAATAAAATGCTGCTCTACCGAGTTCAATTCCCCACTGGGCGACTGAATGGAGAGACAAAACCTTTAGCACTTTTTTGTAGACTGCTTTTTAGCTGGGATCCTAGGTCTAATGACGTCACAGGCATGGACGAAGAGAAAAAAAAATTGGAAATGTCACTTTAGTGGACCGCACATTCTCAAATTATTTTATATATATATTTTTTCCCTGCCTGCCACTCTTTCAGCTTTTGCAGCAGACCAAGAAGGGATCACACTGACATGATTTAGAAAATCAAGGGCAGGTAAATAGTGTTGTTTTCTGGCTCCACGCTCAAAGTTGTTTGTTGACATCAAAGAGAGGAAGAGGCTTGACATGTGCATCTAGATACATTACCCTGCTGAAAGCAACAATCCCCTTGACATTTGAAATAACTGGAACATAAAAAAGACAATGTTTATACAGATTCAGAGTACAGAATGTGCAGCGTTTTGTATCCACATTATAGGAACAAGCATTTTCTTTTCTCTTTTTTTGTGACTATTGTATGACATGAGGGGAAAGGGCCTCTTCATACTTCCAATTTTGAACACTTCAAATGTTCGAGTAAAAATGATTGCTTTTATAATCTATGTCATTGTTTGAAATGACTACAAATACGGAATCCATTCAGTGTTTCTTTTAACAGTAGAACAGGCACTAACCTTTTGGTCCACCAGTATCTTTCATCTTAATGATCTGCTTTGCTTCATTTCATCTTGTTTTCCCTGAGCCTCAGAATAACTTTAGGTAGTCGAGTGATTTCCCATATATCATTTATTTATTTAGTAATTAATTTATTTGTGTATTAATCTATGAGCTATGTATTTAATATTAAATAATGCACAGTCCTCTTCATGAAATTTATGATAAACTTAGGGCTTTCTCAGTGGTCCTTTGTTTTCTGTTTGGTTGGAATATAGGGCAGTACAGTTTGGGTGCTCTTATCAGAGACAGTTTGTGTGCTGCTATTTCGTAACAGTTTTTTGCGGCAGCCAGGGTTTAAGAGACCTTTCCTGGGTAGTGTGTGAGCTCCCGTCGTCCCTTTCATTGGCGAGGAGACATACGAAGGGTCCAGACAGTTATGGAGGAGTGAGTGCTCAGAGGAAGAACGTTTGGGGGTGACTGAGCTTGTCAGGAGACTGGGTTCACTATCGCTATCCGGTGTAGCACAGCCACTCTTGTCCTCCTGTAATTCCTCTTGCTCCTCCTCCTCCTCGTCATCGTCACAGCATAACGCATGGTACAGAATTTTGTCACTGAAGCGGACTCTTTCTCTTGTGCCAGAGGTACGGGAAGTCTTGTGGCTGTGCGTGGAGCTGCTGGCCTCCTCGCTGGATGAATCTGGAGTAATAATGCGGGGCCCATTAGGGATGGGCAGCCCCCCGTTCATCTGGGAATAGACCGAGGCAGTGGTGGGGGGCGGGGTAGGGGTCTGTGTCTGGGTGGGGATGGTCCCGCGGCCCAGCTCCACTCGTGGATCTCCTGGTTGCTCACCAGGCCTGCGGGCGGCGGCAGCGCCAGCCGCCTCCAGATAGCTGCAGAACTCCCAGCTATCAGAAAGCACATCTGCATTGAGGAAGTCCAGCCTGAAGGCCTCTCCCAGACCCCGCTCACTGCTGGACGTGCTGCTGGCTGTGGCCACCGTCCAGTCATCTGGCTCCAGGTCAAAGTCAAAGTCGGATGTTAGTTTATCGATCTGACCCACCACCTGAAATAGAAAAGAGAGAGCACGAGACAAGGAACTGGTCAGATATTGTAGGGAAGGAAATCTGAGGCCTCAGCGCCATAGAAAAATATTTGATTTAGATCCAAATATTCTCATATGTATTCATTTTTAGCCACACGTGGCTGTATGGTTGGTCCACCTCTTTGGTCCAGACTGAACATCTCAAAAATCTGTGGATGGATTGCCATGTTGCCCAGAGGATAACTGACTTTGGTGATCCCTTGACTGTTTTTTTTACCCTCGTACTCATTTTGTGTTTAGTGCCAATTAGAAAATCCACTTAACTAGGATGGCGAACAGGGTAAACATTACACCTGTGAAACATCAGCATGTTGGCTTTGTCATTGTGAGCTCGTTAGCATGCTGATATTAGCAATTAGCTCAAAGCACAGCCACACAGAGCCGCGAGTGTGGCTGCAGACTTTTAGTCTCTCTTCTCAACACCACTGCATTGCTTAAGGATTCCCTGTGGAGTCTTAGACCTCTTGTAGTGCGATGGAGCTGTTCATCGATGAGTGGGTCCCTGTTTTGTTTATCTTATGAAGGGCTATACAGTCCTATGAATGGTAGCACACTAGTCCACTGATCAACAGGTGGCGGCAATATGCCAAAATATGCTGCAATGCACCAGCAAAGGCAGAGAATAAAAAGACTGCAAGCTGCTAAACATGGATGTAAACTCAACATGTTTGTTAGACCTCAAGGATGCACACAGTGTGTTTTGGTGAGTAACACTGAATGTAAACATAACTTTTGTTTGTTGATGAGACATCTCCACTAGGTCCCTTTCATGTACACAGGGGGTTGATTATAACTCATATTTTGGTACTGTTAGAAGCATTATAAGTGCAAAATGTTCATGATCTAACTTTTACACATACATAGACTTATATATAATATAAATAAAAATAAATGGACTCACTCTCATGACAAAAGTTCACAAAAGTGTGGAAGAAACTTAACCAAAAGTACAACATTTTAAACTCACATTACTATGAACTATGAAATTACCTGAAACTACATTGCATGAAATTTCCAGATGCTTCACATCCCACTGATTTACCCCCAACAGGCAGGTTTAACAAAAGCTAAGATTTATTCACAGCTGCTGATAGATCTGTGTTTGCCTTTACAGCTTGCCATTACACTACTTTCCATTCATAAATCCTTAATTGTTTGTTCGTGGTTTTTAAAATTGTTTTTATTTACGCCAAGGCCTCCTGTGGACAGGTGATGTAAATTAGCTTTATTCTACGTCAAGACAAAATTAAATATCAACTGGAATAAGTTTGTGGCATTAAAGAAAGCGAGAAGAACTGAAGAAGCCTCCTCTGGAGGAAGTGGTACATCCCAAGTCCTGTGGCTGATTCATTTGGCCTTGATGTTGTATTGTAGCTACCGGGAAGAACGAGATGAACCTACACAAACATACAGCTTTACAATACAAACACTTAACCCAGTGCTTTTAAAGTTTGTGCACTGATGTATTTTAATTTTCCAGTGCTTTTGTATTGTCCACGTCAAACAAAATAAACTCAAAATCTCACCTATACTGCATGGAAATGTATCACCTGAAAGCATTTAATTCATTATTACCTCAAAATTAATCTCCATGCTTCTGTCATCAACCGCCACAGCGTTAAGTGTTTGATGAATAGAAAGCACTTCAGCTGAAATCACACTGGTTTGCTGACAACACCTAAAATCCAGGCCCTCTATACTTGACATTTTAGCACCTTCAATCAGCATGTTCTGCTCTCAACAACAACCTATTGTAAAATGAAAACACTCAGCATTCACGCAGCATGTAAATGATACATTTCCCTGAACCATTCAGCAATTAAGCCTAGTGGTTTGAACTCCAAAAAGTTTTGCGCATGTGAGTTTGCAACATAATTGCAGCTGAATAGCAGAGAAAGTGTATTTTTACCCTGAGATTTGTGGAACATGATCCCTTTTTTCCTGCCTCTATAATTATTTTCAGTGTTTTTGCTTCTTTCTGGCTCATACGACTACAAATGAGTACGGTTGTATCAACAGCTCAAAATCTTACCTCTGCATGTAGAATTAAAATCCTTCTTCACTATCCAGCCAACTTTAAAAGAATAAATGATGAGTCGAAGGATGCAAATGCATAAAGGGACGAAATACTGACATTGTGCTGATGCTCACTGAAAGCTCAGGTGATCTCCACTGCAAACAGGGCAAGGGACATCCATGAGCTTGAGCATCTTGCGCAAATATCTCAATATGATGATTTGAATCTCACATAAATTTGCTTACCAAATCCTTGAATCAAAAATAAGAACACTGACTTACATTCAGCCACAAATTCAACAGAAGTAGAGTGTAATGGGTGATTAGATGCTGCCATTATCCTCACTGCTGCATTTTATATAACTGCTGAATCCTTTTTCTTAGAGGTATTTTATAGCTGTGAAGTCACACCGCCTGCATTTGAATCTGGCTGTACATGTCTGCATGCATGGCATTGGCTCGTCTGTCAATGAGCTTCACTGCAGATTTGCCAGTTGTGGCATCGTACACCTCATGAGTACCTGGACCGTGCTTCTCTCTTGGCAGACTGCCCGGAGGGAATTGGGCTGTATGAATCCTCTAATCCTTGAATTACTCAACGTGTTTGCTGTGTGATTTGCCGACTTTTTACTCATGGAGTTGTTAATGTACAACGTTTCTCAGACCCAGAGGAGGCTGAATAGCTTTGTTTACTTGGTTACACAACTTGAGCAAGGGACTTAATTTAATCACAGAGTTAAGAAATTATCTGTCAAATGTATTTCACAAGCTTGCAATGACACCAATACAGTTGTTGGTTAGAGGTTATTGCAATAAGCAGATAGTCATTTTAAATAAGTCTCATTTAGATTTGTATTTCAAACTGTTCAAACACAAACACTCTGCTGTGATATGTTAAAGGAAAGCTTAACGGTGCTGTAAAAATAAAGTTTCTGGTTCAAAATCACCTGAATGTTGCTGTTTCTCTGCAGTGGATCATGACCCTGCTTATTTTCCATTTTAAAATGCATTCCCAAGTGTTAACGGTAAGCTGTGCCAGCTTCCACCGCTAGTTAGCCTGACCCCTGCCTGCGGTATGTAGGCTAATTTAGCTTGATAAGTGTCTCAGCTCGAAGGGTTCTGCTGAATCTTTCTAGGTCACAATGCAGCACATGCTCTATGCAGCAACAATGAACACTAGTCCCTGCTTTTTCTTCCAGTCAGAGAATGTGTGATGAAGGAGCTATGGAGTGAATTGAAGGAGCAGATTGCTTTAGCACAAAGGATGAATGAACACATCAGGAACCAGTCATTAACAATGCGCACAATGTGTTTAAAATAGAAAATGAATTCTGAAAATCAAAGATAGAAGGCAAAAGTAATAATGTGACTTTACAATGAAAGTGGAACACAATCATATCTGTACATCGCTGAAGAAGATACCAAACTATGAAATAACAGGTCATTTTTAAAGTAGATAATGTACCAAACATTGTGTGAGTGAACAGAGTTCAATGCCAGTTTCCTATGCAATAACCAGCTCATGTTTACTGTACAAACACTTAATGGTCTTGTGCACATGAGTCAAATAATTCTGGCTGATTAGGTGGACAATACAGAGTTACATGATTAAACTGACTGATATCCTCCAAACAACTGTTAAGGTACCTTACAATGCCTGAAATGTAGGTCTGTTAATTAAATGCTAGTTAATAGTAAATATAGCTAAGTGCTTTTGACATCTTCTTTGTTTTGTTTTCTTATAAATCTGGATATGCAGCTTGATGCTGTGATAAACCTCTGGAGTTAGGATGTGTATCCCCCATGGACTTTATGACACTATCACTCTACAATTTTTATGATGCAGCGATGGCATATCCTTGTGACTGAAAAGACTCCATTTGCAACACAGTTAAGCAGTAATGTATAGTATAAGTGTGGATACGAGTGCTGGGGATTTGAGTTTATCTTTAGTCTTTAATTTTCTCTCAATGCCTCCGCTGACAACTTAACTTACTTTCTTTACTGTAAATGGTGTCTAGTGGAAACTACTAAAAACTATAATGATGAATATAACAATATCTATGATTCTGTGTGTGAATGATTAGCACACAAATTATAGCAAACATTATTTTTTTTAGGCAGGATTGCCTAGCCAACACTGAGCACATCTGATCTTGTTTATAGTCTATACAGAGCAATAAGTAGTATTGTAAAACTTTTTTTTCTCTCTTTTTCACTGCACACTATCAGCCGGCAGCCACGAGTCAACTGTGGTCACAGCACCTGATCAACACCGAGTTCAGTCATTTCAGAGCTCTCAGAGGTGCTTTAAAAGAGAGGCTGCCTCGGCAGCATCAGGCAAGGGTTTATTACTGTACCTCAACACCTGTCTGAGATGATTGTGCTGGGTAATTGAGGGTCAGAGTGAAAGAGGGCACTTGGAGCCTTGTCTGTGACAGAAAGGCACAATGATGGAAAAGACAGGCAAGGATAATCTAACACAGAGTGATGGTCAGTAATGTAAAAACTCTTTTCTCTGGTTGAGTGCTGATGTGAGAAATAGATTCCGTACTGTCCACTATCATTACAAGAGTCCTTCTCTCCAATATTCAGCTCCACCTGGTATCATGATTTATTTATCGTGAGTGGGAACCTGTTTCTTTTCCCCCAAGTGAGCGCCTGTCCTCTGTTAATGCTAATTGAAAATGTACTCAAACATTAGCACTGGAATAAGTTATTCCACTACTAATGTTTAATGTAATGATGAAAAACACAGGCTGGATGCCCGGTTAGCTCAGTGGGTAGAGCTGGCGACCCATGTACCGAGGCTGAGTCCTTGCTGCAGTGGCCCAGGGTTCGAATCTGACTTGCGGCCCTTTGCTGCGTGTCATCCCCTCTCTCTCTGCCCCCCAGCTGTCCTATCAAATAAAGGCAATAAAAGCCGAAAAAAATACTTATAAAAA